AAAAATCCATCGGATGTTAAATAATTATAAGCTCACGGATGACATCATAATATTCCCAAAAGGAAGAATATCATGTGGTAGCATAAAAAGCGACCCTACCATGATGCCAATTCAATGATATTATCAAGCTATATCTATCAAGATCCTCTTGATCGATTTGATGTTCATAACTTTTTTAATATCAATATCCTAAAATGTTTGATGAAATATGAATTTAATAGTGTAATAATATTAGGAAATATATTTACGCTAAAATTATAAGATATACCAACTAGGTATGGAATAGATGATCGGTCATTAGAGTGATTGTGTTTAAAGCAAAAACTTCCAACAAAACATTATTGAAATACTAAAAATAGATGTTTGAGTCTGCCTTAATAACAGTCTCTACTATTGTAGCCTTAATTTGTCTCATAAATTCAACAATCCTGGTTGGCACTGGACCCCCCTGCTGCACTGTTCCTTCATTTGTTTTGACTGTTCTGTCATCTTTGGAGCTACCAATATGTAAAAGAGTTTAATAACAAATTTTTTCTCTTAAATATTAAAAACAATAATTTACCCACTTTAATTATTTTTAATTAGAATCTTTATTGTTAATTGGCGAATATATTTTACATTTAGTTTGTTATATTAATTATTGAAACGTTAAGGAAATACTAACAATGTTGTATAATTTATTTATTTTTTTCTAATGATCAGGATACTCAAGCCGTTAACACAAACTTTAACCAATCCCTTGAGATTTTGGAATTACCGATATAAAAATAGCTCTCGCAACTATTTTTATTAACACTCGAGAAGGGAAGCATAGGATAAATTGTTATTTATTATAATTGAGAGAAAAGGTTGTTATAATAATCTGGTTTCTTCATACGGTGATAAAATCATAATGTTAAACATTTATTAAAAATCTACAAATTGTTAAAGTTTATATAAAATTTTTAAATACGCCAAGATTTTTTCATGGGTTAAAAACAATAAAATAACATAATTCTCCTACGGTTAATTTTTTGATGATAAAATAAACAGTATAAATGTAATTTAAATCATGACATTTAAAATTCTAACGGCACATTAATAACTAACGAATGTTAGGAGAATTTTATTTTTGAAATATCATGAGGGTTAAGATAAAAAGCCATTTTTAATATAAAATTGAGTCANTTAATTTTTTGATGATAAAATAAACAGTATAAATGTAATTTAAATCATGACATTTAAAATTCTAACGGCACATTAATAACTAACTAACGTAGGAGAATTTTTGTTATTTTTGAAATAACATGAGGGTTAAGATAAAAAGCCATTTTTAATATTATAAAATTGAGTCATACTGAAAATTATAAGGCTTATTGAGTCAAACTGTTGATGATTTATTTCTGGTAAAATTGTACAACAATTTGACCCCAACTCAACTCAACATGAACATGACACCAGATTTTGAGATGATATAACAGATTAACAGTATGAAAAGCAAGTTGAGTTGCGCCATAACATAACATCATCTGGTTGACATAGAAAGTTTTGTAAATTACAACTTCAGTCCCTATCTCCCTCTCTCTTTATCTCTTATGCCTCACTTATTTTGACACATGATACATATTTTATTGGGAAATTACCAAAATTATATTTATTCTTTGATTCTTTAATGCTAATTAATTATTATATTTTGTAAGAGAGAGAGAGAGAGAGAGAGAGAGAGAGATTGGGCTATTCGTTTCGCATGAGATTAAATAAAGAGTGAACAACTTTTTCCTACCCAAATAATGGCATAATAACATTTTTTTACCTGCAAACTTTTAAAGTATCACTTTATTACTAAATTTATATTATGTTTCCAATTCTGATATCGTTACGACCCCACGGCACCACTGTTTTCTTCTCCGATTTTCACTCACCAGAACCTCTTAAACTTTACTCTTGTCAACCCTGCCAATCGCTGGTAATTGAATGATTAGGGTTTGTGCAGCCACCCCTCCCAAGTCAAATTTCGACCAATCCCAACTACAAAAATCCAACCTTCCACCACCAAAAGACTTATCGATCTCTCCTCTTTAAAAGCTCCAACAATCTAGACCGAGTTTGCTATTTGTTTGCTACTGAAATATAAATTTGGATAATAAAATGGTATTTTAAAAGTATGTGGATGGAAAAGTATCATTAAACTATTATTTGGGAGGGAAAAAGCAAAGTTTTAAAAATCGGCTCGGCTTGACTGGTTTAACCGGTTTAATCGAGACCTGGGAGCGTCACCGGATTGGGTTAACATTTTCTCTATTAACCCAAAACCATATAATTTGGGATGATGATCGACGAACAATTGAAGGCCAAAATGTTAGAGCTTTTGAAGAGAAAGTGTAGGTGAATGCAATGGTGGCGACGGAGTTGATTTCTAGTGAGTGAATCGATCAAAATCGAAAAAAATGGCGACGGCAACAACCAACATTTGCAGATGATTGACGAGGCTAACGCCGGTGAGGTGAGGTAGGTTTTCATCGGGGGGAAGAGGGGAGTATTTTCGGGGCAATGGGGAGGGTTGTCGATGCCGCATCGATGAGATTTGACCTGGAATGCCGATTTCGGTTAGATTTTGGATATATTTAATAGGGAATGTGCTTAAGGAATGATTAAGATTGCATTTGGGGTGTCGCCGCCGCCAACTAGTTGCCGACCGATTTGTATTTGGGGTGTATTTTCTAAATTTCAAACTTGTAAAGACTTGACGTAATTTTATGAGTATTTGCTGAATTTTAAAAGTTTTGTCATCTGGTTTGATCAGTTGGTCAAACTGGGACTTGATAACTTTATTGGGTTTCATCTTAGGTGGTTATTAAAACATTGGAAAAAAGTTGTTAACTCTTGAATAAATCTAGCTTCTTTTACGACACACCATTTAAACGTTTTAATATTCATTTTTTTTTTTCTTATAGTATCCCATAAACTTCATAAATGCAACTCATTTTGTTTTTTTCTTACGAAGGAGTAAACATTTAATTGCCTTCATTAATGCTATATGTCCCCCGCTATTATTTAGTCCAAAACGGCGTAAATTGGACCACTCAAAAATTAACTTCAGTTTTAACCTAAGGTTTCTAGTCTCGCCCTCGCCACCTAAACTTTTACATGGTATGACTAGAATTTAAATGGTGTGCATTTAGTAGCTCTAAAAGAAAACAGTTAGCTCATAAATTGACCCAAAAAGTAAGAACCTCAGCCCAAGCCCAAATCAATTCATAATTACTTGGTGCCTTGGTGGCCAAGGTCAAGGCGCCCTCCATAAGCTTTTATATAAAATCAGACTCCCGACATTGTTCTCAATTCTCCTTACTTCGATTTCAAAAAAAAAAATTCTCATTACTTCGAATTCGGATCGTCATTGGCACTCTACCAGTACCATCAGTTTCGCGTGGCAACAAATTGCTCCAAAATCTTTTCAATTCATCAACCAAAACCCCTCGCCAGGTTTGAGCTTAAACCTTCAGTCGTTACTAACAAAAACGAAAGCGATAGCGAAAGCGAAAGCGAAAACGAAAAGCGAAACCAAACACAATAATAAGAATGATACTCCAGCTTCCTCGCTTGACAAACTCTCTCAGAGACCCGTTCGACATCGATCAGGCCTATCTCCAACGCAAAGCCATTCTACAGAATCTCCAGAGGCCACGCAAGTAAATTCACTACTCCTTATCTAAATTCACTTTCGTTATAATTTATTGAAAAAATCAGTTAGTAACTGTTTGGTTGCCGAGAAAACGCAGGAAAATAAAAAGAATATAGAATTTGGAATTCTAGAATTATTGTTATTCTTTAATTAAATTAGGGTGAGAGGTTTTGCTGATTTTTTTTTTTATTTTTGTTCGAAGTAACCATGCAGTTGCAAGGTAAGAGTAGAATGATAGTATTTAAGTTGTAATTGCACTTTCCGTTGTAATGCGGATCAAGCCTAATCACAAGAATGCAGGTTCAAATTCATATGGTAATCCAAACAAAAGATTTTAGCTAATAGATAGTGTAGTGAACCTATAAGAAAAAGAAATTTAGATAAACAATTATTGATTTAGACATATGACATTTGAGGGATTTAAACAGTCCAGCTCAAAGTAGGACTTGATTGGCTTTTGGTTTCAGCAGTAACTTAATAGTTAGTGAAATGCAATTTACTTTTGGTTTGGGTATAATAACACTATATGATTAATTTATATATATTTTCTGGTTCAGCTATTATTCCAAATGATTTTTTAAAGCTTTGACTTTTGTGATTTAGTTCAGCAAACTCACTTGCTGATTCAGAGCTTGCACGGAAGATCGTACATCGATGGGAAGAAGGTTTTATAACACCATAATGACTTGAAATTATATCTTCTTGTTGATGAACTTGTATACACTGCTTGAAATTTTATTCTAAAGTTTTAAATGTTTTATTGAACTTGTGGAGTAGCTTCAATAGAAGTGCGACAAGCATACAAGCAGTTCATTGGGGCAGTGGTGGAGTTGATTGATGGAGAAATGCCATCTGAAGAGTTTTTTGTGGTGGCATTGACAGCTTATCGCCTTTTTGGTGGGCCAGCAGAGGAGGATAATGTCGCTGATAGAAAGATTGTTGTTGAGAAAAAGTAAGGAGTAAATTTTTAATGTTGATGCTACAGTTGTTTAATTGGAGACTGTTTTTAGCATATCAAGTACTTTTTTTGCCATTAGGTTGTTACTGCATTTATTGGCAATGTGATGTTAATGAACCATTTTATTAAAAATGTTGCATTATCTGAGGTAAACATTTGTAATCAATTCATTAACAGAAATGGTTTTATAGATATTAAAATATAGCTGGCATCCAGTTTCTTTTGAATAGTTTGTGGTTTTTTGGATCTCAAATTTTGTTGTATCTTTGCATTGGAAACACAATGATGAATTTTTTTTGGCCTAATATCAAATAGAGCTAGCTTTCCTGTTAAGAGGAGAAAAATAATATATTTAAAACATAATTATGCTCAGTGTTCATACTAGATGGCCTCACAGATTCAGTTTATCAGGCCTTGTCACTACTTTGATGAATTCAAGATTTGTAATGCAGTAATTGATACTGAAATGCAGGTTGGACTTGCAAACGTTAATTGGTCATGATGTTTCTGATGCTAAACTGCAAAAAGTTGCCTCTTTCGCTCAGAGGCTTTTTGGGTTGCAACCTAGTGAACATAGTGCTGCTCTTGTTTCAGAAAGCCATGTAAATGGAGGTGGTGATGGTTTAGAATTTGGTGCAGACCTCATCTTCCGAGCACCAGCTCGATTTCTGGTTGATGGTTCTTTGGAAGATGAAGAATTAATGGAGGATGAAAGTACTGCTCCTTCTCCTTTTCATGAAGGATGGTACAATCACACTGATGCTTCAAATTATCAATTAGCTGCTGATGCACGAAACTTTAATTTAAGTTGGCTAAGAGATGCATGTGATCGAATAGTTAGAGGAAGTGTTTCACAGCTTTCTCAAGATGATTTGGCAATGGCTATATGTCGAGTACTTGATTCTGAGAAACGTGGTGAGGAGGTAATGATTGATGATTATTTTTCTCCGAGTTTATTGGTGCAACTTTTTGAACACATTTCTTGGGACAACTAAGTTTCTTGTGTTTACTACTTTGTTGTATAGATAGCTGGTGACCTATTGGATCTTGTTGGGGATAGTGCTTTTGAAACTGTTCAAGACCTTATATTGGTAAGATTTGTATTATTATTTTAGTTTCTTATGCCGTTATTTCATTAACTTAGTTGAAACTTTAGGTGGTTCTAGAACTAATGAACAACAACTTCTTTCCCTGTGTTTTTGTTTGAATTTTTTTTGTTTCCGTCTGTTTTTGCATTTCTATATCTTTTAAGGTTCCGTTTTGTCTATATGTTTGAATGGTAAAGTGGCTTATTCTTTTTTATTTTAACTCTGGAATTTAAATCCAACTTATGAACTGCCTTATTGAAGATTTAAATTCCAAAGTGGATATAATTGATACCCATCCTCATTTTCAGCATCGTAAGGAACTTGTTGATGCTATACATCATGGAAAGCTTGTGTTAAAATCCGAAAAGACTACTTTAAATTCTCAATCACGAATGCCTAGTTATGGCACTCAGGTACAACTGAATTTTAGATAAAAAAAATTGTTGGAGTTGACCGTTAATTCATCCAATAGTAAATTTGTAGTCGGTTCCTGCTTTGGTTTTAGGTGACTGTTCAAACAGAGTCTGAAAAGCAAATTGATAAACTTCGGCGCAAGGAGGAAAAGAGACATAGACGTGGAACTGAATATGGAGCTGAAGGCGATGTGTCTGCTACAAGTTTTTCTTCTTTACTTGAAGCAAGTGAGAAGAAAAATTCATTTGATGACCTGATTGGGTCTGGCCAAGGGCCCGTAGCAGCCACTGCACTTCCTCAAGGAACTGTGAGAAAGCACTTTAAGGGGTATGAGGAGGTTATTATCCCCCCAACACCGACAGCACAAATGAAACCTGGAGAAAAGCTGGTATCTCTTTTTTGATTTCATGTTGATTCTATTCCGTGAATTATGCTATTGATTATTGATATTTATGTCTGTTGATTGATGTCAGTAATTGTTCTTAATTAATACGTGAGAGACATGTTTATCAGTATATGTATGTTGAAAGAAGGTTTTCCAATATTGAGATTTTTTACATTTGCTGGTTTAGAGTGTTCTAATTTAGTCACGGTCCGTTTGGTACTTTTGCAATCCTTGTTTGTCTGTTTCTCTCTCATTGCCTGAGTGCCCACCTTTTTGTGGACATTCTTTAGGTTCTGGATTTTCAATAGGAACTGTTTCAATGTTGTTCCCGTTGTTATTAAAGAAATAAGATGCAATGTGGTTAATGCTAGTTATTAATTTGCGCTAGTTTTTGCCTTGGTCATAAACATTGTATGCTTGTGAATACTTTACAAGGAGAGTGCACTAATAAAGTAAATACACTCATCTGTGGATTAGGGCCAATGATACTTTATATTTTTCAAAAATTATAACATAAACTTGTTTTTCATTAGATTGAGGTACTTTAAATGGTTAATTTCACAATTGACATGTATTGTTTCTTAGATGTGCATTAATTACATATCAAATGTAATCTCAAACATTAAGAGTGTATTGATCTGTTGATCCAAAACTTTTGTCATAATATGTGAAATGAAAGGTGCCATTGATCCTACCTTCTGGAGTCTCCGTCACAGAAATTGTTGTCTGCATGCTTTTTCTTGATAAAAAACAATAGATTTTGTAGTTACAGTGAAATGAGAAATTACAGAAATGGACTAGTGGACCACCATGAGAACGAAGACCCTGGAGGGCTGACTGCCCTACATAGTATTAATAGCTGTCCTCTGTATGCTTATGATCTAAGAACCAGATTCTCTGTTATTTTAACAAAATTCGACTTTGAAATGCGTTCTTTAAGTATATGGTACACTATATGTGGTTGGCAATTGAATCCGTGCTTGCCGATGCTCTAACTTTCTTTTTCTTTTGGGAAATATAAATTTCCAATGGCACTGTTTTGACAATTGTCTTAAAAGTAACAAGATGGTGATACATCTAGAATATTTTCGCTGTGTGATTTTTATCTTCAGAGGTTTTGTAAAGGCACTAGTTGCATGCTTGCTTCATTAATGCTATCAGTTTTGCTTGTTGATCTTGATTATTTTCTGACTGGATTCTGTTCATTATTATATGTTGTCAGATTGAGATTAAGGAGTTGGATGACTTTGCTCAAGCTGCTTTTCATGGCTATAAATCTCTGAACCGTATACAGAGTCGTATATTTCAAACTGTTTATTACACAAATGAGAACATACTAGTAAGTCATCTGTTTTGTATTTATATATCAAGTTATGTGGTTGAAAGAATTTATTCCAATGTGATTTTCATGCATTTGCAGGTTTGTGCTCCTACTGGAGCTGGTAAGACAAATATAGCTATGATTTCAATACTACATGAGGTAGGCAATCTTTGGCTGTAACTCAAATTTCTTTGCTCTTTATTGGGGTCTGACCTTCCTTTTAGATGTAATTTCAGAAAAGATCACTATCTTGGTTTTGTTGTTAATGCTCAGCTCATGTGTGCCTTGCTAATTAGCTTGGTAAAGTTGAAAAGCTTTGCAATATTGCTTTTTGACAGGAGATATTACATTATGTGACACCCTAGTGTATGATATATATAATTATAACTGGAACAGCTTTGTAATCTTCATTGGCTTGATATATTGATATCTTCAGTTTTGCATTCAACCTTTTAAGCAATATAAATCATTTATATGACACTAGTGTACAATATATATGAGAATTTCATATGGTCAATAAATGAGGTGTTCTTTTGCAGATAGGACAGCACTTCAAGGATGGTTACTTACATAAAAATGAATTTAAGATAGTTTATGTCGCTCCCATGAAGGTAAACCTGTCAATATACTTCCCCTTTCTTTCCACCTTTCGTGGATTGGGGTGGCTGATTGCTTATTTCAACTCATGTTTTAGGCATTGGCTGCTGAGGTGACATCAACGTTTGGCCACCGTTTATCTCCTTTGAATATGACTGTGAGAGAACTTACAGGAGACATGCAACTTTCAAAGAATGAACTTGAAGAAACTCAGGTTCTTGTTAAATTATGTATGTTTGGTTTTGCTGTGGCTGGATGTATTTGTAGTAAATGGCTTCACTTTTTTTTTTTTTTTTGGGTGAATCAGATGATAGTGACAACACCAGAGAAATGGGATGTCATTACTCGCAAAAGCAGTGACATGTCACTCTCAATGCTGGTGAAGCTCTTAATTATTGATGAGGTTCATCTTTTAAATGATGATAGAGGTCCTGTGATAGAGGCACTTGTTGCTCGGACCCTCCGTCAGGTATGTAATGTGA